ACTCTGAAGATGCCAGTCTCAGGTGCTGGCGAAATGTTAGGAAACAAAACTTCAAGACCACGGCCACACAGCCCGGAAGACCCACACCAGCCATCGAACCCTGTGAATGTTAAGCACTTTGGAGGGCTATGGAAATGCAGAATGCAGATTTTGCAAAAATTGCCACAGGTCTTGCATGCTTTCCCAAAACACCAGGATGAGGAGGGTAATAAGAAAAAAGAGTAGATTCAGGTGACTAACAAGTCTACTTTCTAATCATATGGAATGATTTTTCAAGGGCTTTCCAACTACTGTTTTGGAGGCATCCTTTGCCTACAGTGATACGATATAAAGAAGCAGACTAAATGGTAATTGCAGTGCATTGGTTCATTTGAAATAGCAACAGAAATCACTAGTAGATTTTATACATCATTTCCAAATGAAACTATTTCCTACAAGGGATCATCTGTGGCACTATGTTTTAGAAACTATACCCAAAGCAAAAAATGTAATAAACGGAGGCCGTGGAATCGAATGCAATTTAATTATGTCCAAAATTGATACATCCTTTTTGTATGTTTGTGAAAAGAAAAGAAAAAGACAAAGGGAGCCTTCAAGGAGGCTGCAGTTTCCTTGACATTGCTGTCTAACCAATCCTCTTCATCTCCCAAATGGTTAAAGACTTTTTTGGATAAGAACCTCCCATCCTTGTGGTCTGAAATTGGCAGGGTTATTTCCACAGAAGGGGCAGATGTTGTGTATTTCTAAAAGCAACACATTTATAGACAGTATTTAAGCCATATCACACGCATGGAGAAACTGGTATTTAAAGAAGACTCCAAAATTCCTGGACCTGTTTTTCTGAAACTGGCAGAAGGCAGGGGGGTCAGTAGGGAGTCAAAAAAGTCAAGATGGCAGCCACGACCATGTGATCAGCACCTTGCCATTTTTTAATGTGCATCACAACACACACAAAGGGAGGGGCTTTGATCGTATTGTTGTGGCCACCATTGTGGCTTTTTTTTTCCCCTGCAGACACCCTTGTCAGAAAGGTCTAAATTTTCTGTAAATTTCATCCATTTTGTTCTTACAAAAAAGAGAAGAGCCATAGCAATTTGTGTTTTTCCCATGCTAATCCATAGAAGACTCAAATCATGTTTTGTATTGGGCCCCAACCTGACATGGGCAGTCTCTGATTACATCTGAGATGAAGTTCCCATTTTCTGATGCCCCAAACAGAACCTGCAATAAGGGTAAAAAAATTAATGGAACTGACAGTCATCCATAATGCTTAATATTCTAAAAAAAAAATCAGACTATCATAGCAGTCTGGCATATTCTGGTTAATATAAATGCAACCAGATGCTTCTAGGAAATCTAAAATGTCATTCCAATTTGTTTTTGGGTTTTTTTTGGTTTTTTTAAAACCAACCTTGGTTTCCATAACTTTCCAGTCTAGTATGCTTCCCAGATAAAAATTGAAGCTCGGGGAAAAAAAAAAAAAAGATGCTGCTGCATTAAGGAGTCGTCTAATCAATGTTAATGGGGCTCTTCGCAATGCAGCATCTCTCTTTTTTTAGGATCTCACAGAAGCCTAAAAAATGGAGGCTGCTCTAAAGAATAGCAGAAAGGAACTGTTCGAAGTCTGAAGCTTTTATTCTGAATATTTGTCCCCAGTATGAGTCACCAGTTTGACACTCCTTGCTCCTCCTAGTTCCCATCATTGACAGTGGGAATGCATGGATAGGACTGCAAAAGCCTCCTGAGTGATCAGGCACGTTCAAAACTAGGCAGATAAATGTCAAAAACAACTTCCTGACACTTGGAAGAACCTGAATCCTGAAGAATTACCTCTAAATGTCAGCGTTCTTCAGTGTTCTGGTAATTTATCATAGCATGTTATTAGCTCATAAAAATGTAAGGAGGGGAAGAAAAATGCCTGGGAATGATGGTACCTTTGAAATGGCCCTAAGAATGTTCACATTCTCAACCCTCAACTTGCCACTTTCATTTCTTGATATCTCTTCAAGACAGGTGTATCTGCATCACGTTGACAATATTTTCAGTTAGGCCCTTCTATGTGAAAATGCTCTTTTTTTCTGTGTAACTATTTTCTGTCAAATATGTCCTATGGCAGCTGCTTTTCTTCCAAGACAGAGTTGACAAAAACCAAGCAAAGAGAAGAGAGTTGAATCAATGTGCAGGAATGTTCTAAATACTCCCTCCCCAAAGCTTAATGCAGCGAAGGGCTTATTCACAGATGAGAGGATAGGAAGAGAAATAGAGTTTGCTGAGCACAGTTTGCAAGTGCAAATGGAAACTGAGTTGAAGCTTTCCAATAATAAAAGGGAGGTGAAAAGGGATCCGAAGGATGCAACCCTGACACTGAATGAAGCAGGAAGAATGTTTAAGCAGGAAAAGGCATTTCTCCTATAGTGTAGCTATAAAAGGATATGTGCATAAGCCTTCATGATGCAATTAATTACGAATTACCTTTAAATAATTCATAACTTTTAAACTGGATTTTTAAAGCAGTCTAAAAATTCCAAAGCATGGAAAGAACTCATCTACGGATTATTTAAAAAAAATTTTTTTTTTAATTCTTATCTTCGCAAAGGAATTCGACACATACCTTTAAGCTAAGTCTTAATGAAGTTGAAACTATGATTTCCAGCTGGACCTAAAATAATAATAATAATTTTCTATATTCTTATAAGCATTCTACAAGAAATTGTTTACTCCAGGGGTCAAAATTACGCACATGTTGCAAAGTAATAGCTGGGTCAACAAAACATATCTGTAGTGCCAAATGTGTTTTGAATGCCAGTCTTTCTTAGCAGAGAAAGTGTTCCATGGATAAATTAGACAATTGGACTAGTTGTCTTGATGTTAGTGATCAGCAGTTAGAATTAAATGGGCTCTTTGTCTGCCCAGCTGACTCCAGTGAGATTTTTCCTTGTATTTTTTTTTCACAATGATTCAGAAGGAAGTTGGCAGCACCTTTTCCCACTAACAAATTTTATTAAAAGACATGAGCATTTGTGAGCTGCAGTTCACTTCATCAGATGCCTCAGATGCATGAGAGCTTAAGCCTTTTAATAAAGTTTGTTTGTGAGAAGAGATGCTACTGGATTCCTTCCAATTCTTTGCCACCATAGGCTAACATGGCTCTCCTCCCACAACCTCACAATTATTGTACCCTTCCTACTGTATCCAGGACTTGATGCCTCCCAGAGTAGCTGTAAATATATTAAGTATATATAATATATAAGTAATTAAGCCTTACTTAATAAGATTGAAGTATTGCTGAAATACTATCTGCTTAGTGCTTTGAGGTCTCAAAAATGCCACATAAATCCCAAATATCACTAATAGTAATTTGGGAGGAGATAGCCATCTATATTTAAATATTTCAATAATTAATTTTCTTCCTAAAAACCTTACGAGTTTTAGCTGTTGTGCTAGATTATTCCTTCCAGGGCACTGAACCAAATTTATTGGTATGGGAATTTCAAAGGCATTCCAAGACAATTGGAATAGGAATAGGAAATAAAGATAATGTGCTTTATCTAGATAGTGACAGATGGAACATGACTCTGAAACAGTGCTTTATCCCTGTTCATGAATAGGAAGTTTCAAATTTGTCCCCTTGACAAGTTTAAGAGGGGGAAATTCATCTGAACCCAGGGTAAATTTTCTCTTACTTTTTGAGGGATGCGTATTTTTTCTTCTGAAGTCTGCAAATGTCAGCATTTATTTTCTTTTTAAAATGGCAAAACAACTATGCAGAATGCATATTTGGCTTCTGAGTTATCTGTCTGTTTCTGTTTATCTATATTCCCTAGTTTTTCAGAACCATCTCACTTGTATTCCAGTTGACAAGATGTTAACTGCAAAAATTATGATGATTTATTTTGGCATTAAGTTTTAATAGCACAATTATTTTAAAATTGCATCGGCCAGGTCTTATGTAAACCAGCCGTGAAAATTCGGTGCCCTTAAGTTAGACCGCATTTTACAAAGAAGCATTTCCAGCAAACACCAAGTTGTGTTTGAAAAGACTGAGCACAGAAATCCTTCTAGAACAGTGTTTCCCAACCTTGGCAACTTTAAGATGTGTGGATTTCAACTTCCAGAATTCCCCAGCAAGGTTGAGAAACACTGTTCTATACAGTAGAACGATTCCCAGCTCCTGGTCATTCCCTTTGGAGTATTCTTAGGCCTGTTCTCATGTTAGTGGTAAATAAGCAGTAGTACTGGTTTCCTTTGGAGAACAGTCCTTTCAGCTTTCCAGGTCTTCAGATAAAAGAACTTTTTGAATCTAAAACTGTTTTCTTTTATCTTTCCTGTTAGTGGTTCGGCAATGAATGTAGTACATACAGAGAAAGAAATGAAGAAATTCTTAGCAGAGGCAACCCGAGTTTCACAGGTATTACACCAAGCTTCCCTTCCCTTCCCTTCCCTTCCCTTCCCTTCCCTTCCC